CAGTTCCAAACAGTGTCCAAATAGTATCAAACAGTTCCAAACAGTGCAAAACAGTGCACTCCACAGTAAAGTCAAATTTATTTTCTTAATCTGTGTGAAGTCAAACTGAAAAGTTAATTTTCGGACGGAGGTAGTATTATTCAATCAGTTCCGAAGCAGTGGCATGATCTCATCACATAAGTACTACTATTTGTTTTCGGGACCGGAAGCGGGGCGCTCGTCCCCCATGCCCCCTGGGTCCTCCACTTGGTATGCCTACCTGGATTTTAAGGATCCAGATGATACTTCATCCGTCCCATTAGGAGGTTTCAATTGCGGTTTACGATGCTTGACTGACGATAATGAGAAGTGTACAGACATTTTTAGTAAATAAAATTTACATATTCATAAACTACATTAAAACCGCTACAAAGCCTTATAAAATATGTAAGTTTGATGAAAAATTGATATATAAACTAAAAGATTAAGAATGATTTAAGTTGACCATGTGAATAGTGTGTGAGAACCTTTAAATGGGACGGAGGGAGTAGATGATTTCCACTCTCAGTATATTGTTAGTTAGCGTCTACACTTTTGGGGGATTAGCTAATCGCATTGATTCCTTTGGATCAGTCATATTTATAATTTATGTCACGTTCTTTTGTATCCAATAGCCATATGTAAAATTTAGGGGTGGATCCAGTTTTGATTTTGACCTAAAATCATTTATCGAAATAATTTAAAAAGTTTGATTTGGTTCGGTTTTGCCCCTACAAAAAAACAGCTGTTTTGTCACGGATATAAAAATCTATTTATCTTAATGCTCATATAAAAACTAATACTCCCTCCGTCCCAAAATAAACTTCTCACTTTCCTTTTCGGGCAGTCTTAAAAAAAACTTCACACTTCAAAACTTTCCTTATCTGGCAAATAATCTACATAAAAAAAGTGCCAAACAGTACCAGTGTCCAAATAGTGTCAAACAGTGTTTAAACAGTGCAAAACAGTGCACTCTACAGTAAAGTCAAATTTATTTTCTTAATCTGTGTGAAGTCAAACTGAGAAGTTAATTTTGGGACGGAAGTAATATTATTCAATCAGTTCCGAAGCAGTGGCATGATCTCATCATATAAGTACTACTATTTGTTTTAGGGACCGGAAGCGGGGCGCTCGCCCCCCATGCCCCCTGGGTCCTCCACTTGATATGCCTACCTGGATTTTAAGGATCCAGATGATACTCCATCCGTCCCATTAGGAGGTTTCAATTGCGGTTTACGATGCTTGACTGACGATAAAGCAACTTAATCTCTGTTCACACTCTGATTATTTTTAGTAAATAAAATTTACATATTCAGAAACTACATTAAAACCGCTACAAAGCCTTATAAAATATGTAAGTTTGATAAAAATTTGATATGTAAACTAAAAGATTAAGAATGATTTAAGTTGACCATGTGAATAGTGTATGAGAACCTTTAAATGGGACGGAGGGAGTAGATGACTTCCACTCTCACTATATTGTTAGTTAGCGTCTACACTTTTGGGGGATTAGCTAATCGCATTGATTCCTTTGGATCAGTCAGATTTATGTCACATTCTTTTGTATCCAATAGCCATATGTAAAATTTAGGGGTGGGTCCAGTTTTGATTTTGACCTAAAATCATTTATCGAAATAATTTAAAAAGTTTGATTTGGTTCGGTTTTGCCACGGATTTTTGTCACGGATTCCGTCCGTGACAAGTTTGTCACGACCTTTGTCACGGAATTGTCACGGATTATTTTGTCACTCTGACAAGATCCGTGACAAAATCTTGTCACGGATTATATCCGTGACAACGGGCTTCCGGTTACCCAGAAATTGTTTCCGGTGCAATTTTTTTTTTGTTCCGGCAATTTGTCACAGATTTATCCGTGACAAAATCTGTGACGACTGAAATCAATTGAATTTTCAACGCTACCCAGTTTAATGTTGTACGGATAGTGTTTGTCACGGACAAGTCGGTGACAAAATCCGTGACCATTTTTTTTATATATGCAACCACAGATTCATTCAACAGATTCATATCAATTCAAACTCAATCACAACATAATACAGTATTTGTTGAAAGATTGAAGGATGTAATCTATCTTATGTCATCTTCCTTGTTTATGCAGATAAGGTATGTCATTCGAATTATGTATTTTTTTAAGAATTAATGGTTTCGTTTTAAATAATTACAATTATTAAATTAGTGATGTTATAAAATTAGTTAGATTTTTAGGTTTATAAAATAATTTAGTTAAAATTAGTTAGTAAACGTAGGTTTAATCGTAGTGATGCATTAAGTTAAAATTAGCTAAATTAGTTAAATTTTTGATAATATTAGTTAAATTTAAATATTAGTTAATGAAAATGGGTTTAAAAAAAGGATGTTACTTAATTAACAATATATGTAACTATAAACGTAGTGTTGTCATAAAACTAGTTAAATTTGTAGGTTTATAAAATAATTTTTTTTAAATTAGTTAAACGTATCTTTAAACGTAGTGTTAAGTTGTATTTAGTTAAAATTAGGTAAATTAGTTACATTGAAATATTAGTTAATTCAAATGTCTAATTTAGGATTTATAATGATTTAAGTTAGGATTGAAACATTACTTTAGTGTGAATTATTATTGTGAATTGTTTGAATTTCATTTAATTTAGTGAATCGTTTATTGTGTATTATTAGATTCTCATAATTTCAATATTGTGAATTAATGCTACCAACGTGCGTATTGTTTCTAGTTAATTAATAATATTAATTGAACGTTAGTTAATTTTAGTGAAATGTAATATATTAATGTTCCTAAATATAGTGAATTAGTGAATAATTTTAATGATTAATGTCATTACTGTGTTGCTTTTAGTTAATTAATAATATTAATCGAACGTAGTTAATTTTATTGAACTTTAGTGAAATGTAATATATTAATGTTCCTAAGTATTAATTAGTGAATATATTAAACATAACAAAGTATTGTTAATGTTTATGATTTATAGTTTTTAACCAATATAATTTGTTGTTTATAATATTCAGGCATAATGTATAAACAAAATAGAAGTTGGATGTATGATAAACATGATGAATTGTACGGAATGAAAGCAAATTTTCTTGATGGTATTAGGGAGCTTGTTACATTTGCACATGAACACCCGAATTATATGGATGGTGATAAAATCGAATGTTCATGTACAAAGTGTAAAAATCTCAAATTTAATGACACCGACGTGGTTGTGTGGCATTTGTACGAACAAGGTGTCGTTGCTAATTATTATAATTGGACTTCTCATGACGAACCTTTCGATCTATCACTTTTACCACAAACAGTAGGTCCGTCTCGTAACGTCCCTAACAAGATGAGTGAGTGGGGAAACTATGCTCAAATGAACTGGGACCAAAGAATAGTGTATGATGCATATGGTGCCTCAACGTCTTAGTTCACCCCCCCCCACAACCATTTAATGATCCTCCCGAAGCCTCGACCTCCTATCAACCAGATGCGGATGAAAATCCGATCTTTTATCAACTTGATGTGGATGAAGGTTTAGCTGAGAGATTTCAACATGTTTTAAAAGTTGCCGATCAACCTCTATATGCTTATTGTGAGGGATACTCTCAGCTATCCGAAGTTTTCGGATTTGATGAACTTTAAAGCTGAATACAGTCTACGTGACGTGAAACTTGCATGTCTAGGCTATTGGAGTCAATAGGAGGAATGCTACCGCGTGACCATAACTTTCCTGATTCATATTACAATTAACATGAAGCATTTAATATCTCATTTGGGGCTTTCTTATATAGAAATTGATGCCTGCCCAAAAGGATGTATGTTGTTCTCGAAGGATGATGAGACACTTGAGAGATGCAAGTTCTGTGGTGGAGACAGATACAAACATGTTCCTCAAAGAAAAAAAACCACGAACTAGATTTGCATTGTCTAAATTGTTTTACCTCCCACTAGCTCCACGACTAAAGATGATATATGCTTCAACTGCTACTGCGAAACACATGACATGACATGCTGAGCATGAAACCAAAGAGGGTTTGATGTCTCACATTTCAGACTGTGCAACTTGGAGACACTTTGGCCGTTGTCATCCTCAGTTTGCAACGGAGCCACGGAATGTGCGACTTGGGGTTGTGTTCAGACGGATTTGCTCCTTTTGGAAGGTTTGGGAAGAAATATTCATGTTGGCCAGTCATGTAAACTCTTTATAATCTTCCTCACGACATGTGCATGAAAAGTCATTTCATCTTTTTAACTTTAATTTGTCCGGGTCCCAAAGATCCTGGAAAAAGGATAGACATTTATCTCCAACCCCTTATCGAGAAGATGAAAGAACTTTGGGATGTTGGGACACGAACTTATGATGTTTCAAGAGATCAAATATTTATCGTGAAAGCTGCCATTATTTGGACCATTAGCGGCTTCCCTGCCTATGGTATTCTTTCAGGATGGAGCACACACGGTCTTATGGGATGTCCAATATGTATGGAGAAATCAAGTACCAATTGGCTCAGTTTCAGTTCCAAACCAAGTTACTTTAATTGTCATTGGAAGTTTCTGCCAGCACACCATCGATATCGAAGGAAAAAAAGTCCTTCATTAGAGATAGAGTGATACGAGACCCCCCCCACCACTGAGACCGATAGACGAACAAATGTTTTACTGGGTTCAATTCGACGTATTCCTACGGTTGTATAAGAGCCAAATGAGGAGCCATCACTACTAGAAAAATAGCTATTTGCTGCGGTTATTTTTAGCTATTTGCTGCGGTTTTGAACCGCAGCAATTGGCAGGGCAGCAAATAGTAAGAAAACGTATTTGCTGCGGTTCGGAACCGCAGCAAATAACTATTTTTAAAAAAATGAAATTTGACTTATTGCTGCGGTTCCGAACCGCAGCGAATAGCTATTTACAAACCGCTGCAAATACTTCTTAAAATTGGCATATGTTTTTTTTGTTTTGGACTACTATTAAAATTACAAAGCTAGTATTTTAGACCAAAATATATCTATTTTACAGAAGAAGAAAAAGTCATTTCTACAAACTTAGTATCACATCAACAATAATCAGAAACATAATCTCAAATTTATTGAGTTATACATCGCCAAAGTTCAAAATGAATACAACACAAATTGTCATTCTTTTTGTAAGTCTATCGTCACTAAAGTTTACAAAAAAATTATCACTTATATGGTCAATTCCTCAAAAACTTCAAATACTTCATCAGTTCATCACTCAAAAAGGCTCTTTTGGTACTTTGATAGACCTGATCACCTGAAATATTAAACATTTTAAATAATAGTTAGAAAAAAACGATAACAATATGATATACTCCGTATTAAACATTTACCTGATACATATATATAGCATGTGTGTGTAATATTGAGTTCATGATGGCCACATATCTGGCAGAGTGGCAAACATAAAAACATTTCAAGTATAATAGCAAGAATGGGGCTAGTATTTACTAGTCAAAATACCATAAGACACATACTGTCCTGGCCCATTTGGGGTCCATGGATGCATAGTACCTGCTGTCAATGAAGCTTGCAGTTCAGAAGCAATAAAAATTTATAATATAAAATTGAAAAAGAATAGAACATAGGCAACGTAAAGAAGGCTAGTTGCTATAGTTTGTGTTTAAACTGTATTGGGACACTGTCTTATACTACTACTATTTATTAAGCTGCAGAAGCTAGTAAAAATAAAACATATAAAGTTGTAGAGCATGTAATAAATTTGCAACTACAAGTCCATAGCACAGGTTAATGTAATAGGTGGTTGGCCGGGTCAATCTTCAAAACTACAAAAAAAAAGGAATAAAAAAATAACATTTGAGTAGTAAATAGTAATTAAAAATACAAGGGGCTCAATTTTCTCTTGTTCTCCTGCTATGTAAAAAGGATATTGCCAAACGCGAAGTTAAAAAAATGAAGAAGGTTATATGGGGGTTTACGTAACAAGAAAAAACAATCAGGTTCAAATTACAGTAATACCTTTGAAGAAATGTTGCCCTCTTTAAGGTGGAGTTTGATTGTTAGCTTCTTATTCGCCTTCTCCAGAATATTGTTTTCTTCAAAAATAAGAGCACATTTTCTAGGTCAAAGCATATGACTAAAATATTCAACCAGTCACTCATGTTTTCACTTTCTCCTATGAGCAGGGACATACTTCAGATAGAGCGTCTCTTTCTGAGATTAGTAATGCATTCTTCTTAGTTCTAATTAGTAAAATAGGTTATTCGGCCTGTACATGTGAATCTGTGATGTCAAATAACTAAATAAGTAAACAGATTCACCAAATTCTGCATGGTTTGCCAAATATTCAATTCACATAATCCCAACTTGCATTTAAAAGACCTAAAAATTGTAAAAATTCAGCTAGTTTCATTAATCAATTAATTTAGCAACGAAAAAGGCCATAGCCAAGCAACTAGTCAACCCCAATAGAAAAAATTCATGTTAACTAGTTGTATCACTTGTATGTCTATAATGCAAACAACCACCGGATGAAAGGGAAAAAAGTACCCTTGAAGTTCACACTATTGGCCCAAAATGCAATTCTTACCAAGAGTCCATTAAACCCCATGAAAAGGGGTGAAAACTTCTCTGTGAATCATGAGAGAAATAGCCTAAAGAACAAAACATACAAAATTCTAGTTTCAGATAATACAAAATAAATGTCATAACTTACATAAACTTCATAATATACTGCAGGTCAGCTTTACCAACATTTTTTCCAGAAAAGTAGCCTATTCAATTTGTTCAATTAACCCTTACCAAATGGACCAGAAAATAACAACATTCCTTCTTAGTGGAAATTGAAACCAGAAAAGCATTAATTACCATTTAAAACATGTAATTATGTATCGTAAAGAGATTTTTAATTTACCTTGAAAGAGAGAAGAAGTACAGCAGAAGGAGGGGCGAGGTGACCTTGCTATGTGAAGAAGCGAGAAGGAATGGTTGCGATAGGGTTTGCTGGGTGATGCGGTTGCGAGGTGGCCGGATTGGCCGGCTGATGAGGGTTGCGAGGCGGTGAGTTTGGTTGGTTGATGCAATTGCGAGACAGCGGGGTTTGTTGGGCCATGCGGTTGCGAGGCGGAGGGGTTGGTTGGCCGATGCAGTTGCGAGGCGGCGTGGTTGGTTGGCAAGGCTGTTGAGAGGTCGGGGAATCGGATCCTGGGTTAGAAATGTGACTGGCAGCCTGGGAGTCGCAAGGAAAGCGACCATCTATGCAGGAGCTGTTGCATCTGCGACGAGGAGCGGTGCTACGGTCGGACGGAAGCTGCTGGAAAGGCTGGGATTTTGGCCTTCTGGGAGGGTTTGAAGTGTTTTGACGGAAGGGGAAGAGGAACTTCTGAAATTGTGAGGTTATTTGATGCGGTTTTAGGAATGACCGCAGCAAGTAGTTGCAAAAGTTAATGCATTCGCTGCGGTTCTCCCTTCCCCGCAGCAAACTAGTCAAAAAGAAAATTAAAATTGGAAATATTACTAGTATTTGCTGCGGTTCTAACTTGACGGCAGCAAAAAGTATCAAATTTTTCAACCTTTTGCTGCGGTCGTAGTAGAACCGCAGCAAATACTTATAAATTTTACCTATTTGCTGCGTTTTAACTAAGAACCGCAGCAATTGGGTAGCAGCAAATAAGGAAAATTCTAGTAGTGCATATGGGTATTGTTATACCCATAAGTGGACAAAAAAGAGTATATTTTGGGAGTTGCCATATTAGAAAGACCTTCTCATTCATCACAATTTAGATGTCATGCACATTGAGAAGAACGTGTTTGACAATATATTTAATAAAGTGATGAATTTCAAAAGCAAAACTAAAGACGGTCTTGCATTTAGAAAAGACATGACAATGTGGTGTGATAGAGTATCAAGAAATGGAATGCTTCTTCTTATCTAACTCTAATTTTAGATGATATTAAAGCTCTTCCTGAAAGTTGCAACAAAAGTTATCTGGCAGCTTTGATTCTAGTTATATTTAATTACATATAAATAAAAGTTATAAAAATTTAATATTTTGGAAGTTCAAATTAAGAGAATTTTAATGATATTTTATACATACAATTTGATTACGTATATTAGTGCAAAATTCAAAGTATTGAAACTATTAAAGAACCAGAAAAGTATGAGAAACAGATAACATACTCCGTAGTATCAAAAATTCTACAGGTACCCCAAATTGTACCCCAATTTGTACCCACCCCCTGAATTGTCTGTGTACACAGGCAGTTCGTTTGAAAGAGGGCAGAACTTTATGCCCAAATGTCTGTGTACACAGACGGTGTACACTTTGGGGTACAAATTGGGGTACCCCAAGCAGCTCTCCTAAATTGTTCAGAAATTTCGACCAATTCGAAAAGTAACCCAAATCTTATTTATTTTCTACTAAATTCCAAAAGTAAGTCTAAAATTGATTCATAATTTTGATAAATTAAAAATATAAGTTCCCAAAAATGTGTTGCATTTCAGGTAAGTTAAACGTGTGTTCAAAATTAGAAAATACGGAGTAAAATGCAATTTGGTCGACAAATGTAAAATGGAAGAAAGTATTTCTTTATTTATTCTTTGAACAATGATGATGCAACAACATCTTGTCTGCAAGGCAGTTGTTCCCCGGCACGGCCACTCGCTCGCCAACCTACCCACCGATTCCGTGCTGGTCTGCTAGGGTTTGGGCCGGATTCTTGATTAGGGTTTCTAGCTGAAACTCAGTAAAATGGAGAGCTTCAACCATCTAGGACAACAAGAGGCTGATGGGCACAGAAACGGCACCGGTAGCTTCTTATACTCCGGCTCCGTTCTCTCCGCACCGCCGAGTTACGACAGAACCACCACACCCGCCGCCGGAAACTTCCACTTGCAGCCTTACGATCATCCCGTAGTGAAGACGGAAGGGGGAGTCACCACTTCCAATCACACCCAAAGCTTTGAGGGTGAGGATGAAGCTATAAAGGCAAAGATCATTTCCCATCCTCGGTATTCCAATCTCTTGGAAGCTTACATGGACTGTCAAAAAGTTGGTGCTCCGCCGGAGGTGGCGGCGCGTCTCGGGGCGGTCCGGCAAGAGTTCGAGTCCCAGCAGCGAGATTCAATACTTGGTGGCAGAGATATATCATCTAAGGACCCAGAACTCGACCAGTTCATGGTACAACTAAAAGTTCTCAATTGAAGATATGTTATTTTTTATATAATAAATACGTTAAGATGAATTAATAAATTAAAGATTTGTGGGAAATAATTTATGGGTTTCTTTGGAATAAAAAAATGGTCCAGGAAGCATACTATGATATGTTAGTGAAGTATAGAGAAGAGCTGACGAGGCCTTTACAAGAAGCGATGGAGTTCTTGCGGCGGATCGAATCGCAGCTAAATATGCTAAGCAATGGTCCTGTTCGGGTCTTCAATAGTTCTGGTACTTGCTTTCTTCTTTCAGCAACTTTTCTTTTTCATTTCTTGAAGAATTAAAGCTCTTTTTGATTATTTTTTTACCTGAATACGGAATATATTTTAGAACATCGAAGAAAATATTTCCCATTTTTTTATTCATATTTCGGGAGAAACCTATTCTAAGAGCTTGTATGATGGTCCTGTCCGGGCCTTTAATCGGCTGATTTCACTAAATTCTTGAAATTCTGGCGACTAATTTTGCTGATTTATGAAAAATTGATATTTAAAATATTTTTTATTAATAAAGTAGAGAAAAATTATACTCCGTATAAACCATATTGAAATGATCTTCTATTATTAATTCATCCAATACAATCAGAAAAGTAACTCCAATTTTACTTTTTTTATTACTCCTTATTACACAATTTGGTCTGTGAAATTAAAAATTATGTATTTAGAGAAAAAATTGATTGACATAAGTTAAAAAACAAGATCGGCTAACAATACTTAATTTATAAAAAAAATGGTAACTATTTCCTATTGTATTAAAAGAGAAAATATCAATTTTGTGGTGCACAAAATAATACTCACTTCGTATTGTTTTCTAAAAAAGTGTTCTACAGAATTTTGTTGTCGTATTAAACACTTTCCAGAATAAAAGTTACTGCATATCTGAAACACAGAATCTATCTAAATAAATAAAATAAAAGTGCTTTTGTTTGTTTGTTTTGGAATTTGGGTAAAAATTTAGGAAGATTGAGTAAATAGGAGGTACTCTAGTTCATTATAGTAATTTCCAAGGAAGGAAACAAAACAAATTGGTGCAAGTATTGATAGGGGCAGAGGTTACTCCAAAAATTCAACTGCCTTCGTTCTCGAGCAGTGCAACAACTGTTGGTTCATTCAATACTTTTCAATTCCCAATGTTTTTTTCTTCTTGCCCATTCCCATATGTCCATATTCTTGGTTTTCCTTTTTTTTAAGGTCTTGTACGAAGGCATAATAAAAACATAATACTAGTACTCCATAATACGGATTATATTGCCCGTGTAATAAAAACATAATACTAGTACTCCATAGTAATAATTCTTGGTGTACACAGGATGTATACAAAATGTGTACATTGTCCGTGTACACAGACAATTTGACATCCAGTCATACCTTTTTTTAAATGAATTTCCTATGTACATTGGCAAATAGAGGAGTTTTGTGTCCAATTTGTGTACAATTCATGTACACTAGGAATTTTTCAATTTTTCAATTATTACTTACATTTTGACATTAATACGGAGTAAATCTTAGTTAAATGTTATCATTATTTTTTGCTTTATCAAGCACATTCACTGGTAGGGTTGACGCACGGTTTTTGGTTTGCTACTCACATTATGACATAATCACATTCGTTTGCCGGAGGGTAAAGATCCAAACAATCCAATAATCGCAGTGACCTAATCTTGATGTTGATCGTGTGGGTTGGGTTTATTTGAGTTGTTTCAGATGAGTACTATTTCACACAATGTTTTTTTTGATAGTCAATTTTACACACAATTGAAACAGTTAAAGTAAATACTACGTAGTTAGTAAGATGAATCTATGAAAGATAAAATATACTACGTATCATACACAATCCATCCCATTTTTATTCCTTATAAAAAGTCACATTTTATTTGGAGATAAATATAAATAGAAATCCAAATTATCTCAAGATTATTGTGAAGTTAGTATCAATTAGTGAATACACGAACAACAAAAGATATGATTACTTTATACTATAATGATGAATGATGTGATTTAGAAGATATGAGATTATTTTGAAAAAATATAACAGTGTTATAATTTTATTTATTTATTTAAGTTGCACTAATGTGGATGCTATTGTGATCATATCATGCAAATCAAGTATCAAGTATACTAATTAATACCCGAAAAAATTTCGACTAAAATAAGTGTTTACAATAATAAGGTAATATTTAAATATCTTAAATATATTTATTACGGAGTATATTAGTAACTTTATTCGTCATAACTTATGTTCAATTGTTATACATACCATACTCAGTTGTAACTCAAAATTCGTATCAGTAATATTTTGAAAAAAATAATCTTAATATCCCATATTCTTAATTATTTAACAAACTTGAAAGAATTGGGAGCATTTTTGGTGCAGACCCTAACCCTAATCACGAGTCATCCGCATAATATGCGGTTCGAACGGATCCATTAAAGCTAGGAACTCTCATGATTGGTTAATCCTTTTTTTGGAACCAAGACTAGCAACTTTATTAATTCAAAAGATCATTCGCCAACTGGTTTACAATACAGTCCGGGATATATCATAACTACATCTATGATCTGAGATGGATACGTGCGCTCTAGCAAGCTTATGAGCTACACGATTCACAGATCGTGAACAAAAAGAGATAGAGAAATTACTCTTTGTAACAAGTATGGATTGAATATCATCAATAATCAAGTCCAAATAAGCCAAACGACCGCTGATTGGTTAATCCTTAGAAAAGCAATTTTTGGGGTGTCTGAGCTTCGCTTAATCACCTGCGAAGAATCACTCTATATATCCTGGTCTCGTAGCTATTGGGCGTGTTCGAAATTTAATTAATGGTTAGCAGGTAGTGGATAACAAGTAGATAACATAGTAATAGTATGTTTGTAGGTTCTTCATAGCGGATTTGATTCACACAATAAATTGGTGGGTTATGAAAGAATGTTCGTTGATTTAGTTGTTTGACGTAGCAATTAGTAAGAAAGCAATTAGTAAGAAATGACGTAACAAAACGTCAACTCAAAACGCTGCTATTAGTTGTGGTCCCATTTCAACGATTCCGTCCAAAAATATTAGAGTCAAGAAGTTATTTACCGAACGACGATTTCACTTATTGAAAGCGCTAATTAGAATGGGTCAAATCATTATTATTTGGTTGAAAGTGCATATTCCACCCATTTTTATGAAGTGTAGAAAATGTAGAATGATTATTTGCAAAAATGTGACTTTTTAATTAGTGATTATACAATCATAATAATTTATGCTATATTT